GATTGCGACGGCCAATTATATCTTAAATACAAAGTTATTTTCCATTTTTATCAGATAGTACTTCAGAAGTGATTCCAATAGCGCCGCGAGGTGGCGCAGCGTAAAAACATGTTTAAAGTTTGAAAATTTCTTAAAATTGTATCTTAAATACAGAGTTATTTTTCTCACATCTATGATTTTTTTTGTTGGGAATGGTACTTTAGAACTGATTCCAATAGCGCCGTGAAATGGCGCGCAAAGACTGTTTTAGAAAGAAAATCCACTTTTTACACTAGAGAGCGCTTCATAAATTGGTCGCGAGATGGGGCACGAACATTACAGGTGACAGCGTAAAAACAGGTTTAAAGTTTGAAAATTTCCCACTGATTGCTAAGGGGCAGTTATATCTTAAATACCGAGTTATTTTAATCACATCTTTGGATTTTTTTTTTAAATGATTATATGGTACTTGTACCACGTTGTTGTTTGTCAACTTGCATCAGGATTATAATTGTTCTATCTGCCTTAAAGCTGTATTCATTGCAAATTGGTCGCGAGGTGGCGCACGAACATTACAGGTGAAATAGGGTAAAAACAGGTTTAAAGTTTGAAAATTTCCCACTGATTGAGACGGGGTAAGTATGTCTTAAATACAGTTATTTTTCAAACATGTTAGATTTTTTTTTGTACCACGTTGGTCGTTGTTTATCGACTTGTATCAGGATTATAATTCTCATATACAACGCTGAAAAAAAATGTTTATCGTTTTATTTTCGAAATAATCAATTGAGATTATAGCGTAAACAAAGGGGTTAAATTTAATACATATGGCGTTTTTTGTCTTCCCTGACATTTATAGCTTAAATACAAATACTTTTCCACATATTGAGTTTTAAATTTTATTAGATAGTGCTTTAGAGGTTGGCCCCGAAATAGGAGTAAATACAGGAATAATTTTTTAAGTTATAGACACTGATTATGTCTTAAATACAGAGTGATTTTTTCTACTCATGCCTTTGATTTTGAAATTTATTAGATGGTGCACGAACTTTACAGGCTTGAATTTTGAAAATAATTTTTAGCTTTGTCGTACACGCTGATTATAGCGCAAATACACCTACATACTGCGTTGGATGAAATTTAGTGTACAAAGGCACGACGAAATTTCTTTTTTCTACAAACTCCTATTTTTTGCCGGGGGGGTAAGTTTTGCCAAAAAAGGCACTAACGCGAAAACTAACCCTCTAGCGGGGTTGGAATTGCCAAAAAGGCACTAACGCGAAAACTACCCCTCTAGCGGGACCGGAATTGCCAAAAAGGCACTAACGCGAAAAATTAATCCTCTAGCGGAGTCGGCGCTAGGGCACTGACGTCATAAAATTTAACGGTGGGGGGGGGTGAGTTTGCCAAAAAAGGCACTAAGGTAAAAACTACCCGTCAGGCGGGAATAAAACTGCCAAAAAGGCACTAACGCGAAAACTAACCTTCTAGCGGGGTTGGAATTGCCAAAAAGGCACTAACCCGAAAACTAACCCTCCAGCGTGCCGGAATTTCCAAAAAGGCACTAACGCGAAAACTAACCCTCTAGCGGGGTCGGAATTTCCAAAAAGGCACTAACGCGAAAACTAACCCTCTAGCGGGATCGGTATTTCCAAAAAGGCCCTAACGCGAAAAACTACCCCTCCAGCGGCGTCGGAATTGCCAAAAAGGCACTAACACGAAAACTAACCCTCTAGCGGGGCAGCGACAAGTGTCACCTACACCTAACGGTTGACACAGGTCAGGTGACATTACACTGACACCGACAGGTGAGACATCTTACTTCTTCATCATTCCTCCACGCACCCATCGATTTTAATATGCCCGTTAGCTCGGAGTTAAAGTGGACGCTCGACAACAGACGCATCCCGAGTTCGATCCTCGGTAGCGTTTTGATGGTTGGTTTTGAGGGTGGGGCTTGGGGGTGAGCGTGGGATGATCGAATGATATTGAGCGGGGACCATTTTCCGCTATTATGAACCTTAAATTTTCTTATGTGAATTTACATGTAAAAATGAGAAAATTTATTCTTGAACTGTCATTATATTACTACTGATCACTAGTGCCTTTATTATTCCTCTGCCTTTATAATTCGGAGCATCATACTGAAGTATCTACGTTAACGACATCAGAACATATTAGAACTATTCTCTCCTTAAGGTCGCTTTAACCACTTTGTAGCTTTATTTTGGATTAGAATTTTCACGTGCCATTGAAACCTCGCATCACTATCAATAGAGAGTTGGTCAGCGAAAGATGTTTGTTGTCCAGTTGAATTTGAAAATTTTAAGTAAGAAAAGTTGAGGTTTTTCCAAAGACAATAACATTGCTTTGCGACCGAGAACAACGCAATATTATGGAAATTATTATTTATTATGTATTATTATTATTTATTTATATAAGTGGTTGGGAAACTAAATGAAGATGTGCTGTAATAAGAAAAAAAATTAACATCATCAGTGTTCTTTAAGAAAATTACCAAGCCTTCCATATTACTCTACAAATAGATAATATCTTTTGAAAAATGTCGAATGGGTTTATCTTAAGCCAAAATCATCCTAGATGCTGTATGTGTTATGTGAAAATGATTTTATTTGACATATGTGTCCTGAATAAAAACCCGATTATATGTCTATTATTGATTTCGCAAATATACTACAAGGCAATATGACTAGGGCTGATACTATATAGCTACTAGAGACATAGAGGCTCTACCTATGCCCATAATACACAGGATTTCCATTCTCGCTTCTAGCCAATGACGTTGCGACATTCAACAATCAACATGGCCGCGAACATATCGTCATTAAGTTTGGATTCGGCATTTTTACGTCAGTATTTTTTCAAAATATGCCTAACTGTCTTTGAATGTTCTGGGAAAACGTGGTAAGTGTGTGGAAATCGTTACTTAGGAAGAAAATGGCGCAAAAGTGAAGTTTAGTGGGGAAAATGTTGAGGCATGCGCGGAAAATCAATCCCTTCTATATATTATCTAATAGCTATATGGTTATTGCTGATGTTGATCGTTTTAACATATTTACTTGTATAGACTTCATATTTATTTTAGCGTATCAATTACAATTGTTCAATTTTCGCACCGGTTTGTGCCGTTATTAACTGACATGCAACTACATGCAACCAAATTAATTTGTTGGTTTTGTCTGCAAGAGAATTCCGTTATTGGACAGCATCTTTTTTGCAGTGGCTTGCGCACAAATTTCGTAGTGGTAACTTTTTTAATAATCTGCACTTGGAATTAGTTCATTGATTATAAATTTTGGGCAAGAGGGTGCTGAAGTTAATAAAAATAATAAATTCTAATTATTAAATTAAGTTGATAAGTGATAACAAATTAATAGGTACGTACGGTGTATATACATACGATGATACATATTTTGAAGACAAATCTACTTCATCAAAAAATATACAGGGTGTTTCAAAACAAATGCGATATCGCCTTACAAATGTGGAGTAATGTTTTTATTTTTTTTGTCTTGAAAACGAAAATAGATATGTAGAACAATAAATTATTACGAAAGTATCAATATTATAAAAACACTGACTGCATTTCTTTTCATTTTTTAAAAATGAGTAGCCCTCCACTAATCCTGATTATTCTTCTTAACTCAATTTAAAGAGAAAGAATGGCATAAAAAAATATTTTTAAAATTTTAGGTTTTATTTAGCAACTTTTATCTTCTGCAGTTTTATTATATTTACCCTTTTGCATAACTAGATCAAACAAATCTCGCGAACTGTCAACAGGACCGCCGTTGGTAAAGAACGACTTAGCATCGAAACAAAAATTTTTTTTTTGTTTATTTGATCGAACATTAGCCTCCATCTTATTCTCGTGATCTTCGTATGTTTTTCGTACATCGCTATGAAAGACGGTAAAGACGGTCCGAAATTTGAAGCTTTCGACTTGAAATTTAGCATACATATAGAACTTAAATATGCAGCAATCGACTTCAAATCTGGCAGAGAAGTATAAGTTCATACCCGCATCTAAATTATAGAAGTTGAAAGCAATCAAATCTCGCGAAGTATTTTTTAAAAATTTTAGAAATATTTGTTTTGGAGTTATTTTGGCTTTCAGAAAAAAAAAATTTTCTCGAAAGCTATAAACCAAAGGACGCAGACAATCCGGAACTATAAATTTTATTTCAATCATTTTCTTGCGATTTTATACAGTGAGTAAATAATTAGCCGTAAATCAAAATTCTTATTTGTTTTAGACAGTAGTATAGGCTGCATCTGGAGCGACGATTTTTGTATTTAAAGTTTTCAACAATGATACACACTGTTCGAGATATTTGAAGAAATCCATATCAAAGTCGTTTTTTCTCAAGCTCAATCTAGATGCGCTGATGTCACTTACTAATTACGTACTGCATGGATTTAGAAAACAAATACCATTTACTCTATTGGAAAAAATCTTAGACTTATGGCATCCAGGGCTATAACCTTTACTTTGGACATATTTTCGATTCTGTATAAGGTGTGTCGGTTAAGGGCAAAAATTCTAGAAAGACCCTCAAATTGTAAAAAACGGGACTGTTTTGTTTAAACAGAATCTTATACTGTGTCGAGAGTTATAATTTTCGTATTTATAGTTTACAGTGCGTGAGATATTTTAAAAAATATTATTTTTAATTCGCTATTATTGGTACAAATTTTCAAATTCACCAAAGTTTGCCATGACTTTGAAGTTTCACGAGACGTGAAAGACACTTTATTACAGGGTACATGCACAATAAAAATAAATTCTGTGATTGTAGGCATTTGTGGGTAAAAAATCAAACCAGGTAAGGAAATTGAATCAAAAAATATATTGATACATTCTCTTGTATTTTGTACTGTATAATTGTAATTATATAAATAATAAATAGATATTAAATAGAATAGTTTGAATCTTTGCTATCACTATCATCCAACGATATAATTCATAGTTTTACGTTGTCCCAAGTTTTTATAAATAATTATTTTCCACTTCGAGTACATCGTTAACACATTCTCTTCAACTACTCTCTGGTATTCATTCACATTGAGTATTATTGAATCAAACTTTGTTTTTTAATTTCTATAAGATTCAAATCGCAGTGATAAGGTGATAATCTAAGGGGTATATTAGCGGATTTTTTTATGACCCCCGCTGCGAAATAAGTTACCATTCCCTTGAGCAACAGTGTAAAATGGATATTCCTTGTCCTCTGGGTGCAAGTACAAATGCAGTTTGACAAAGAATTTTGCCACCCTATAGAGTGTTGTCGTTTGTCGAGCCAAGTCTCGTCTGAATAATATATATTTCGTTTTTCTACGCGAAATTGATTCATTTCATTTAAATATTTTTGTCTCCATTCCACTAATCGTTGAGTCTATCTAATGCAACTACGCTTCTCAATATTTTTTTATCAAAACCGATTTTGTGCCGAAATCGATGCAATGTTTTACGACTGCCAGTAAATAGACCATTTTATTTAAATTTATGTTGCAATAATTAGCGGATTTTCTTATTTGCTATGTTAAAGTTTCAGGAATATTACAGTGAACATTGACTGATGTCATCTTAAACAGTTTTTTGAAATTTAAATAAGTGGAAACAGTATGCGTCCTATTGTTTGATAATAAAGTTAAAATAATAAATATTATATAAAATTTACCTCCATATACTCGTAAGACGACTCAGCACATACTCAAATGACACTTTGTTTTTCTCCTCTATTTCGTGGTTGAAATTTTCTTCAAGCCACGGTCTAAACATAACAATGGCAAAGCGCAAAAGATTTTAAAATGTCTGAAAATAAAATTACCTCCAAGGACTGATTACTGCTCCATCCAACTAAATTATTTTTCTAAAATAATTTATTTTCGACATCAAAATTAATTTTTCCCATGTAGAATATAAAATATGCAGACGATCTACTTTGAGACACAGCATCTAATAAAAACTTCTATTTCTCTTTAAAATTCATAAGTTCGTAGTAGTAGAAAGTTTCTCCAACAATGCTGAATCATTTTTAAGGAATACACTGAAATTAAATCATCAGAAAAGTTAAAAATACAGATTAAACAAAAAGTGAATTTAGGCGAAAAAAAAATAATTTACTATCTTTTATTATGTTACCCTGGCGTAAAATACGTTGACCGCCACCCATGCTCGGCCAATTCACGCAGAATGAATAAAGTTAACCTTAACCAGTTTCAGCTTTTAGTTGCACGCTCGCGGTTCTTTGAGCTCGGTTGGAATATCGTTAAACGTTGGTATTCATATTTTGCGTCCCGGCTTATAACTTCGTCCTTTTTTTCGAGGTAAACAAACTGCCATCCTGCAAGTTTCGGAACTGCTGGGTAAGTCGATACTTATTCTATTTGTATCTGTCCCTTTTAATTGCGAAAAATCGAAACGCACACGTAACCCGTATGTCGACCAAATTGATAGCTTTTGATAGCAACGTTGTATTAAGACTGTCATCTTTTCCATATAGTCAGTCACATTTTATTTCCTCTATCAATTATTAATAAGCAAGTAGGTACTCAGGCATACAAAAATTATACTAGCGTTAAGACCAAATCCTGGTTTTTGGCAATGGCAATAAAGGATAATGATTATTGTTACAAGTAGTTCATCCTTTCTATATATAATATACGAGCCATGTTAAATTTGGTTTACAAAGTCGAGTAGCCCAACACGTTTTATGGTTTTAATAATATGAAAATGCGGTTTCTTCATTTGTTAAAAAGAATCACGAGAACAAAAGTTGGTGCAAAAACCTTTTAAGAGCTAGATATTAGAAAACCAGCTAACAGAAATATTAAAATGAAGTGAACAGAAATCAAACTGAAAAGAAAAACACACATTTTTGTTTGTTAATATTTTGGTAGGTTGTATTGAATATTGTATTATTATTATTATTGCAATATTACAATACTACAATGTTACAATATTTATCAGTTCAAATCACCCAAAAAACTTGTCAAATTATAGATTTTTGACAATTAACAATTAATCTTAGAAAATTGAAAAAATCAAATTAAACTAACAAAAAATCTAAGCTTGCGGGCAAATATAAGAAATATCTTGTTAATTACTTTAATTTTCCTTCCTGTACATAAATATATACATTCAAGATAAGCATAATTTTCAAAATAATGGCGATTATTTTATTTACCTAAATAAGAAAATCCAATATCCTTTATATTTTAATTAAAATATGGTTTACGGTATATATCGTTAATTTAAACTATATTTGCAGGTAGCCATATTCAATAATTAAAATACGACCCTCGACCACTGATTTACGGATGAAAAAATGTGCTGACCATAAATTCCGGGATATCATTCGTTCGTCCGCTGAACTCCGACTGGAATCCCGCAGACGAAAACACTTCGAGCGCGAGCATTGAAGATGTCAACCGAGATCTTGGCGAAACGTCTGCGGGATTCCAGTGTTCGAACCATCCCAGAATATATATATATATATATACATATATATATATATATATATATATATATATATATATATATATATATATATATATATATATATATATATATATATATATATATATATATATATATATATATATATATATATATATATATATATATATATATATATATATATATATATATATATATATATATATATATATATATATATATATATAAATGTATATATATATATATATATATATATATATATATATATATATATATATATATATATATATATATATATATATATATATATATATATATATATATATATATATATATATATATATAAATGTATATATATATATATATATATATATATATATATATATATATATATATATATATATATATATATATATATATATATATATATATATACATATATATATATATATATATATATATATATATATATATATATATATATATATATATATATATATATATATATATATATATACATACCACAATTTCACTATATGGGACCGAAATGCGTTGTTAAATTACAGTCACGCTTTCTTTATTTTTAAAGCCCGAACTATCCTCATAATTAGACACCATTTCCTAATAATAAAATCGCGAATTTTCCATGTAAAAAGTGGTAATGCTATTGCGCAGAAATAAACCCGAATACTATTAGTTAATTGATTACTAGGTAGAGTTTAATCTGAGCCATCCTTAGTTTCTTTTCCTAGTAAGCTGTAGCCACTATAAAATTGATGTAACGCGAAATTTATTGCGGAAGATAAAAATACTACAGCAAGATGTAGGTCCGCATATTTTCAAATGTCAACCATACCATACTTGCTTCTTGATAGCAGTGAACTAACGAAAAATATGAAAAATGAATAAATCCAGTTTAGGACCATGTTTTCTATACAGGTATTCATCAAGGAAATCTTGTTTCCGCGGCTTTACGAATGATGAAGAACGATTCTTTCGGAAAAATGGTTAATTGATAATTAACTTAAATTAAAAACCGGACCTGTAGAGTTTGAGCTTTGTTTTCCATAATTGGACATCTTTAATTTTAATTTTTCAATATTCATAAAATTGTTTATTATTGATTGTTTTTTTTTGTGCTCATTTTCTATGGTGCCAAGAAGGTACCTCGTATTGCCGAAGAAATTGATCAGAGATTTTCTGTAACAATGCCGTTGTTTTTTAATGGGGAAAGTATTTTCCGTAACCGAAATAGTTTATATGCCTCGTGTCTTTTTGTGACATCGCTTCAGTCGTTCACCCTTATTGGATCACGTGTTCCAGATAATAAAAATGGGACCGCCATTTAACCATACTAACGACAAACAATTTTTACCGTATTTTTAGTACAAATTGTTGTGACGAAATTATAGAAACTAAATATTCTTTTCTATATTCCATTCTTTGGAATTAAGGCAAACTGAGAATAGGTGCATGAGCGGAAAATGTTAAGGTTTAAAGAGTTGCGTGGAGTTTTATCTTTGTTGTTGATATGGATTATTTTGCATAAGAAAAAATATGATCCTAAACAGTTAACATCTATTGAAATCAATCTTGTCGTTTGATTGGAAGAGTTTGTAGTTTAAATATAATGTAGAACACTGTCGCTCATATTATCAAAGGTTTTTATTTCGATTTCATTACTCTACAGGTAAGTATTCAATTATTTATGAAACACACGGTATAATAAATGGTTTCTTGTTTTTTAAGAATTAAAAAGCCGCAGTATTTGCATCAATTTTAACTTAATCATAATGAAAATTGTTCTCGGCGTTTTTTTTTGTATAATTATTCATATTTGAATTTGCTCATTGTTCACATTAAATTCTCAACGGGCAGTTCAAACTAATAAACTTCAATATTCTAAAATTATTATATATTATTCGACGTTCAATTATTTGCGACCTATTGGCATAGACTTTTTCTTTAAAGTAAGGTAAAGAAAGTTGTCCATCGGCGTTAGATCGCATGATCTTGGTGCGAAATTTTTTTCGTAAAGTCGAGAAATGGTAAACGGTCTGAAAACTTGGTCCGCAGTAACTACATTGTTTCGCGAGCTCTGTGGCACGTTGCATCTGTTGCCAAAACATATCATCCACATCAATTCGATCCAATTCAGTCTACGGATTTTCTAAGAAATATGCTAGCCGATAATGTGTACCAAACAGTAACTCGCGGTGGATGCATTGGTTTTTCCAGTATTAAACGAGGATTTTCAACAGCAAAAAATCAGCAGTTCTGCTTCTTCACATATCTGTTAGTTTTCGTTAAGCCACATTACTTTAGTACTTTAGTACAACACCCAATCAACGAATCCACGGCGCTGCACATGGTCACTTGGCTTGAATTGGTACGTTAATTGCGTTAATTGAATCTTGTACGCGTGCAAATGTAGATCTTATGTTAAAATTCGTTGCAGGGTGGTTTGGTATGTTCAATTCTTGATCACGATGCCGAATCGAGCATGAGCTTGTTGAGAGTTTTCCACATTTCCATGTGTCCAAAACAAGGTTATCCCAATTACAAACATAAACTACGAATGAATTCTAGATACTTTTCATGTATTATTACCTATTACCTAGATCTGATCGTTCTCGACAAATTTTTAAATTTGTTTAAAAAATGACATTTGCAAATCCTAAAATAATTAACAGTTTTTCTTATAAGGGAGCGTTAATTGTTTAAATTTTGATAGATTCTTTACGGAAAAGGAATTGTCGTATATTGAAATCGTATTAAATTATAAAAATAGGGATTTTCCATTTGAAAATTTGACTTTTTACGTTTTAATAATTCAATTTTTGTGCTCCATTTTTGCTCACCCTGTATTAACTTATATAGAAAATATACACTTAATATATAATAATTCCATTCACAAAGCATCCAAAATTAAATAATTAAGGCTCTCATACAGGAAATTTGTTAATTATTTTATGACCTGCAAACGTCATTTTCGACATAAAATTCAAGATTTGTCGAAAATTGGAAAATAAGAAAGCTGGTATTTAGCACAGTTGAACGGTTCGCTCTGTGTATAAGAAAAATTAAAAACTATAGATGAGACTATACAACTTTTCAATTTAGTTTGTTTTTCTAGCGTTAGTAGTTTCTGAATTAAGAGTAGGGTACCTTATTTCGCACACCCTGTACATCAGAAAGATATCGATTTTTCGCAATATGTAAATTATTTTTGTTCCATGATCAAAGCCAATAACCAGGTAAAAACTTCTAGAGCATTTAAACTTTCTTGTGTCTCCCGGTATTTAAAAACTATTTTTATAATTTTTTTTTAAACGGAATCGATCGTAAAAATTAAATTTTACCGATTCTGTGCCATAATAAAAAAAGGGTTTTATTTAGGTTTATTAAAACCAATACAAAGTTATAATCAACAAAATGTTGAAAGAAATTCGGTTACAGGATCTCTCAAATTCCTAAAATCGAACCTATTTACATAAACCGAACGCACCGCATTTTACTGGAAATGACCTAAAAACGAATGAGTTATCGATGTCATTGCACGCAGGGGCGGCGAACTGGCATTTCTTACTCTGTAGCACAGGTGGTTTTTGTGACACACTCAGCTTTTGTGCGGGCACGCAATGCAGTGCACCTAAAGGAAATTTCGAAAATATCCAAAAAGTCCCATAAATGAAATGAAAGAATTTGAAAAAAAAAATTGGAAACCTTTACAATCTTTTTTTTTATATACTATCCTAACTTGGAGACTCCTTTAAAACTTATGTACCCACCTTAGGCTAAATATATTGATAAGAAAAGTTATTTTTTATATTGTTACTCCCATAAATATAGGTTCACGTTTTATTTCCAAAGATATGATTTTAAACAATGAAAAAACTTTTTATTTCAATTTTTTCCTGAAAACAAAGTGGCATGATGCGGGCATGGGTTGCAAAAAGTTATGGAATTTCAACAAGAAGCCCCAAAAAAAGGTCCGGTCACACTTATCAATCAATGCGAAAGTTTGATTATGTTTTTTTTGCAGAATGCTGTTTGAAGCGAGAAAATAAAAGAAGGTTGAAAAGATGACATCAAGACTTGCCCAAATGCAGGTAAGACTTTTTTTTCAAAATCATCTAATTAATGAATTCATTTATGAAGAGTTGATAAGATTCTCTTATAATTAATTAGCTCGATTTAGAAACATGGTAAAAGTAATCACAATTATTGTTCAGGCGAATCAAGATTTACATAAAAGCACGCTGTGGGTATTAACAATTTTAAAAGAACCCACACCGGCCTAAAGGTGATCCAGTTCGCATAAAAAACGAGTCTAAAAGGTTGTTTCCTTTTATTGTTACTTGTGAGTTTTATTAATAATAGAACCCACACATTAAGAAAAAAATAAATGTTTGTTTTGACAGGACTTATGGTTTTAGTTACTAATAAGCATAAGCAGTCGCAGTATGCCTGTATATCAGGTTGCCATTTTAGAGAGGAGCGGTTAAAATGTCAAGAAAATTTACATGTAAGCAAAAATAAAATAAAATTAACGTTAATAGTGGCACTAATTAAAATGTTAAAATAATATGTATTTTAATTCGCCACTTTTCCATTTTGACTGGCCAGGATTAAATTTTTACGTTTGGGTTGTAATATTTTATTGTATGGAGTTCTTTTCTGTATAAAAAGACACGGAAATTTTAGTATATTTCTAGTAAGTAAGACTTTTTAAAAATCGTATTTGCAACAAAACTAAAGTTTAATTCACGAAATAACTTTACCTTTTCATTAATTGTTGCTTCTAGATTTGACTGATGTACTCAAAAGTTGAGGCTTTATAACTTTATTTGCATTGTGTAAGTTTAATCAAATTTGTCATACTAAAAGAAGAACAAACATCATTTAAACCTGCATCTTCAAGAATGAAATTTTAAACGATAGCAATACATAGATAGATATTGCTAAGGTTGCTAATAAATTTGGACTGGAACAAAAGGAAGAATTTTTGTAGTTTAACAGACATAGTTTCCCAACCTTAATATTTTGTGTGCGTTTGCTTAAATCGTTTTTAAGTTGCTTTGATTTGGGTTTTAACATGTGTTCGTCTGATGCTGCCATTTTAAGCGAAACGTGTCACCCGTTTTTAAATTAAATTTATGTTTTGACAAATGACACTGTAGATTTCGTCTTCTATGACCTGTAACGAGTAACTGAAATTAAATTTTGAATGTTCGTTGCGCTACTGGCTCTATTTCAGCAATCAAATATAAGCTGGTCTCGATGTTAAATCTATTCTACTCTACTCTACTCTATTCTACCATTATTGTTGAATCGAAATAAAAAAATAACAGTCTGATGTATCATTGACGACTCGAAATATGCGGCAATGAAATATAATGGGCGATCAATCTACCAATAGACTTTACATTATGCAATAAGTCCAAATAAGGACGATTCGTGGTCAGGTGAGTCAGCGTGTACCACTGTGGGTGTCGGGCATCGAGAAACGCCCGAGCAACCAACCTTAACGCGAGGTGAATCAACCGACTTCCAATGTCAACACTTTCGCATGTCTCAAGACTTTTTCGACCCGCATTCGGACTGCAAATCGAGGACTCGGTGTTTATTTTCAACGAAAATCTACAAGTCCAATAATTCCAGCTTAAATCGTTTTTGAGAAATTCGAGGAAATAGAAAAAGTTGAACCTTTTGTTTTTGTCTGTGAAGTTCTAAACACGCCAAACATGATATTGGGATGAGTACATTATTAGAATTGTTTTTTAAAAAGAATATGACATAAAGAGAAAACGAATTTTTTCATTTGTTTTCGAGATAAACAATATAAATATATTACATTATGAATTTATTATCATTCTTCAAACCAGAATTTGTTTTTTTTTATATATGGTAAGCTATAATCGCAATCAACAGACATTCCTGACAGCTCTTGAAAACAATTTTATAATCTGTTTCCCTTTATCATCATATTCTTCTTCAAATTTAAGTTTCTTTCTTTTTTTTCTCTTTAAAACTTTCCTAGTTTAACCGAGCCTATATTTCCAATGATTTTCGATATCCCGTGGAATTCCATCCTTATATTGGATACACTATGTATTGCATTATATACTTAACATAAGCCAATTAGAGGCGTTCCGTTTAAGAAATTTAAATTCGTAAGCTATATATCCTACAAATCCGTATAAAGGTTGCTTGTCAAGCAAACATGTTAAATATTGATTAATAATTGACGATACACCTTGTGTACGAATGAAAAAAAGTATGTACAAACAATAGAAATTTCTCATTCTACGAAGCGATCAATCGATACTAACAACAACACAAAGATCATGATTCACTATTGCGTATAAGCAGATCTGTGCATTCTGACTCGCTAAATACTGCCAAACGTTACACTGGTTAATTTAAAATTAATGAGCTGCGGTCAGCTGCAAAAGTTAACGCCTCCAATTATTAGAACGTATGGAACCTTGTCCTTGAATTTACGTTTCGATAATTAATTTATTGTCTATATAAGTACATATATACAGCGTGCTTCACGTAAGATGACCCACTAGTCCATTTGAAAAAACTCAAAGTAAGATTCGCCGGTTATTCTTAATTGTAAAAAAAATTGTCGAAAACAATACCAATCCACAGATATAAAGAAATTTGTTCCTGGTGGCGACATTGTCGATTTTCGTCACTCTATACATGAGTGTTATGGCATTGAACAATACCATCCTGCCGAAATCCTGCTTCGTCCGTAAAGAGTGTGGTTTTATTAAAATTTCTATTATTATTAACCTTTGGTAATACCATTGACATGCAAGACTTGCTCGGAGTGAGCCTGCCAAGCAGTGCTGTTGGAATGATTACCTCCGAATCTTGTTGCTAAGTACTGGTACTGGTACTGACACTAAGATTTTGTTCCACGGCACGTAAAGCTCTCTAACTAACATTATTGTCAAACAAATGAGGAAATTTACCTCTTTTCTATAATCTAGACTTTCGAAGGTTTTGTTATCTGGAAGTTGCCGATGCGAAAACGCCTACAAATATAAGCGCCTTAGTGCATAACAGCTACTATTAGTATATTATGCACAAGTGCGGTAAACGGCATTTATTAAACACTCGCTACGCTGGGCTCCACTCGTGCCAAATAAACTCGTGACTCAAAAAGTCTACCAAAATATTAAAATTTAACATAAAAATGGAGAAAATTTGGCAGTGTCGGTTCGTGAAACTACAACATTTTTCTGTCGTCGTGAAGCAGCTTTTCAGTCTGCTGCTGGGACAAGCTAGTGATGTGAAGAATAAAACCCGTGCATATCACTTAAGAACAACTGAGAAGATTGCTGCTGTAGCCCAAAGTGTTGAAGAAAAGCTGGGTTTGTCCATTTCTCGTCGTTGTTTTGGATTTGGGCATTCCACATACGCCGTTACACCGTATTTTGCGAAGACTTGGATCTTAAGAACTCAAGCCGACCGATCTTCAACGACGTCGTGTCTTTGCTGATTTGGTCCTTGAATGGCATGAAAATTATTCCGAATTTCATAAAAAAATCATCTGGACTGATGAGGGCCATTTCCACCTCGGTGGCTACGTCAACAAGCAAAATTGTCGCATCTGGGTCTCAGAAAATGCAAAATTTATTGTTGAAAAGCCTCTCCATCCTCAACGTGTAACTGTTTGGTGCAGTTTATGGTCCGTGAACCTTACTTTTTCGAAAATGAGGCTGGAGCACCAATTACTTTGAATGGATTGCGCTATTCAGAAATGATTAATGATTTTTGATCTATCGCCCATCGATCTTTTATGGGAAAACTTTTCAGACCGTTATCTCTCGAAGAGATGATCAGAATTGGCGAGATCTTGCGACTTCTTCCATTGGGGCCATGTCGATTCAAGACCTCAAAGGGGAATTCGTGAAGCTATTGAGGGCATACAGCAACCACTTTGTGATTTGATGATAGAAAATTTCATGAAAATGATATGGTCCTGTGAGCATAGTGGTGGTGACCATTATTAATGGAATTTCTTTCTTTTTGCATTGGAATAAATATCCGATCACAAAGTGCCATTTCTCTATGAATATCAAAATAACACCTCTCATTATAAGTACCCTTTATAAGTGCGTGCATACTTTACATACATGTCCTCAAAAGTGAAATTTTCGATCACAAAAACCAAGACAAAAACTTTTCAGAAAAATTTCCCGAAAATTAGGTGAATAACTCGTCTCCATAAAGAACTGGCCCGCGTATGGCTAACCTCTGTGCCGAAATGCAGTGCTTTCTAAAGTACTTGTTATTTTTTTTAGTAATGTTGTCCAGTGACATGCAGTGCAAACTGTGAGTGAATATTTGGATATTAATTTAAAAAAAATGTTCCAATTTAACACCCTGCATCTTGAACAGTCTGCATTTCCAGGCGCATGTTTATAAATACTTTTTAACAAGGATATGCTCTCTTAAATATCTCCGTCAATTTTTCCGACGCCGTATATACTTTATAGTTAAATTGACCATTAAAGGATGTGTCGCGGCGTTGGTCTTATCTCGTTATTTGTGTTATTCTGGGACTTGGGACGGAATCAAAATCGGTACGTCACTGAATGCCTCTGGGTTCGCAGATCGGCAACGGCCATTACCGATTCGAGCCGCACAGACAAACACACCTTCGCTTTGCAGGTGTTGCGTTTCACCCTCCTGTCTAGGGAGCTCCCTGAAAATCAGGCCGATAATATAATAGGTCGCTGTAATTCCATATATAATTAACGAATATAGACCTTTATAACAATATTAACGGTCCCAAAATAAATAAATAAATAATTTTAAAATTACACAAAGAAGAGAAGGATTAACAAGAAAAAGGAAAAATAATACTAGAAGAAAAAATAGCACAAACAAAGGAAAAATTGGCTAAGGGAGCAATGTGACCAGTTTATCATAGTGGTGAAGTGCTATTCTCACAAAAACAATTTTCTTGTGAGGAAAACAAAACTTGATGAAATAATTATCATTGACATATTACATCATTGCAAAAAAGTGTTTAACGACAAGAGTTTCTTTGTGTGGGACGTAAAATAAAGGTTTTTGAGGAATTTAT